TTGCGAACAAACTAAATTATGTGTGTTACCCTTAAATGCAACTGGACATTAACATAAACTTGAGAGGTCCCCCCGTGAAACTAGCAGAACCGTACAGCCGTAAGGAGTGTCGTAAAAATTTCTTTTCTATCCGTGTGTGTCAGCTGGGGAATACTCTCTCTGAATCGGTCGTTTCTGCACCTACCCTCACCATATTTAAAAGTCGGTTTGATGACGCAATGAACACACTTACATTTTGTTACATAGCAGTATCTCTCCGTCGTACTCCCAAAAAATATCTTGGGTTTATTATTTGTCGTCTATCGGAAATGTGGAACTACAGAGAGTGCAGAACTACTGCATTAAAAACAATGAGTCCGTTCTTTGAATAGTAAAATTACTAAATACCTTTTCATTAACGTTTTTCCACAACCCACCAGACCACCCAACGTGGCTGGTAAAGCAGTATTTCTTAAAACTAAGGTCATTATTCATTGAACGTTACTGTGTGACAATGTGGTTGCTTAGACATTGCGGCGTGACGGTCGGACTAACGCAATTGTCAACAACTCGTGATTTCGGTGCAATTGTTTTCACTTACTGAGACGGAATCCCACTAAACTACGGTAATGCGCAATCGGTGTGCTAGCACAATATGGGACTTATAGGCCATAAGCATATTGAATCATTTTATCTTGTGCAATTTGTTACTCCGATGCTCGACCTATGGCAAGCTTCAAAACAGCATACAAATATCCTACTTACTTGTGCAGTTATCCCAAATGTCATCTAGGGAGAGTCTTGGAGTTTGGATTCTGGAGCTTGCAAATTTTAGCACAGTCTGAATCTAACAGAACCGTTCTTGTTAGAACGCTTTCATCGAGTTCCCGTGACCACTGAACGTCAACCTCTGTGAGACAATTGTGTTAGTGAACAAGCGGGAATTCCTCGGGTAGGAATAGCAAGAGTGCACTGAAACCCTGGATCTTTGGAATATCAGCAAAACCCCTGCACTTAAGCCACCAATTCGCGGTGAGCAACATCCAATCTCCATCTGCCTTATCAAGTACGGTCCAGTGATCGGACTAATCAAGTTTCATTTCATTATGAATAATGGTCCACATTGAGATTGCTGATCTCTATTCATTCAGGCAACAAGGATCTTAAAATGACCCTTCCAACCTGGACCTTTATCAACGCGGACAGCAACAGTTGGGGGTGGGGTCACTCATTTTATGCGGTCATAGTCGGCTGACCCCAGTTGTTGTGCCAGTGTTGTGGTAAAGAAATTGTGCCTCTCAAACTAGCCAATCGCGCATTTTGCTGTTGAAACGTAGACGCACTCGCGCTATTTGGATACGTTAAGGGGGTTGCTCCCAGGCGAACGTACAACCGGAACGAAGCAGAGTCCAACTCCTTGACTGCTTGCGATCTGAGAGCCCGGAACAAGACTCTCATTATAAAAAGCCGAAAGATCCAATATATATATATGTACATTTTTAAACAGGAATAAACCGCAAATTACTATCCGATGCGGCAAGCTTATGGAAATCAAGAATCATTGTGGAAAAACAAGATTGCTGGTACGCTCTTCTGTTGTGCCAGTGCAGCCCAAATGGTCGTCCAACCTATGGATTAGCTTAGCTATAGAGTTCCATCTTGAAGCCTTGGTTGCAGAGGTGTAATGTGAAGGGGGTTATTCGACGAACTGACTGACGTAGTCCAAGCTGCGCAGAATTTTTCGATAAATCTGAAATGAAAGTAAGCCCTCCTGTTCTAACAAGTTACTGGCTTATGTCTGAGGCGGATGGTGAAAATATAGCATCCCGTCTAACCATAGTGGACTGCTACAAAGTCATCTTTGCAATTCACAAAACACTCGTATCAGCACTTTTCTATATGTAAACACTGATGACGGATGACGAAGTGTCGCCGTGAGAATGCAAGTTGTGAGTGCAGAAGATGGACATACTCAACTTTATGGTTTAAATAGAGGCATCATTTCTTTGAACTATATTCCCTTGTCAACGGCTGCGCTATTTCAAACTCAGGAACAGTGTGACGATTACACATTAAGCATCCGCTTGGTTTGCCAGGTCAGTGCGGTGATAAATTGTCAGGATGAATAATCTATGGGTTGTATATCACCGCCATCTGTTTCAAACCGGGGAGAAATTCTTTCCAAAGTGAGGAGGAGCTTGTCCGAACTACCATCATTGGCGTATACCGGGTAGGTCCAAGGTCATTCTAGCTGAGGCTCATCATCAAATCGATGACTCCTTCATAACACAGTGTGTACTACAATGGATGTAGTCGCTTCTGGTGTCTGCACATTGGCGTCCAATTTGATTGGTCGGCGAATATCGAAAAGAGACGATGTGAGGCCAAGTACTACGCATAAACACGCGCTGGGCATCAATGGAGGTACGAAGTGAGTTGGTCTGCGTCGACGGTGATTTAGGTTGTCGTGGTTTCCGCCATGCGCCAAGGCCATCGCTCATCAGGAGCTACACAATGCGCCGCCGTCATTAATGATACCCGACGCCGCAGTTTCCGGTGTGGTTGAATGAAACGGTAACTTCGCGTGAGATGTGTGCCTGACACACTGAGGCAACGAACGCAATCAATCGAAAACTGACCCTAGAATTCTTTTAAAGATCCATTAAAATTTTTTGTCATCTATGTCTCCGCTCTTACTGCCTGAGCACAGGTTAGTCTGCACCATGATAACAATTAGTATTTTGTTCCGTGTGCAGTTTTCTGTGATGCAACTCTGTCGGAGGTCTAGCCATATCATCATGAAGGCCTGGTCAGTTTTTGACGAAAATATTAACACAGGTGTCATTGGAGCGGAGAGTTTCGTAGCCGCTCTCCACCAGCACTCCAAGACCCACATAGGTATCATTGCAAATTGGAATAAATTGTCTCATTCGTGGAAAATTGCCACTTATATAACACAATTCTATGTGTACCCCATGCAACTATTCGAATTAAATAGGCTTGCTCCAGGTATTATTTGTCTGTTCTCTAATATCTTATCTCAGATAGACTGTTTTACAAGAACTAGATTTGGGGCGTCTCCGTGGAAATCACCCGATAAGCAAGCCCACAGATTTCCTCCGAACTTTCTCGTTTTGCGGATCGTTGCTTTCTTAACGACCCCCACAGTTCGGCCGTTCTGGCTCCAAATTGTGTAACCTGAGGATGCGATTCGAAAACACCAACATAAAACGTTGTTCTGTACTAGATACATGTGGTTTGATAGCATTGCGATGTCAATTACCACCAGCCTGCTGAAAATTCCCAACTTGAAAGCTATCCACGAAACAGTGGCTGGCTAGCAGAGCAACCTCCTCGTGGTTCCAACTGGGTAGTTCGGGTTTACCCCCTTCCAGCAAATAGTTCGGCGACAGTATTCCAGGACGTGGTGGGTTTTCAACTGGCTAGCGTTCTTCCTATAAAAAGCCACAAATGTCCGTTTAACAACCCTATGACGTGGCGGTTGTGAATCGCCCCCAAGTAATGTCACCCATTGCTTATCCGGACAACCGCTTCAAGTTAGCCATCAAGCATCCATTTAACACTGGCGACACTTTCAAGCAAGATCAAAAGGGCAGAAAAACATGTACACATTCCATAAACACAGCTAACCATGCTCACACGCACACTTACATACATTCATATATCAACATACGCGACAATCCCATTGTTCCATCGTACATTAACTGAGCACATTTTGTACTCTTAACATGATCATGCCTGTGCAGGCGTGCCTCGCTTAGTCCGGAATAAACATTTTATTTATTTATTATTTACTTAATAATCGGGTAACTAGGTAGTGCTTACAATGGCTAACGTGCAGAATTCCGAAGACTCCATACCCTACTCCACCTACACACGTTACATGTATGCTTTTGTGTCGCAGTGCGTTGTCGGCATTGTTGGTCTCTTTGACACGGATATAAGCCAACTCGAGCTAGAGTAGCTGGTTCCGTGACAATCGCCTTAGTCCGACGTTTCAATTTGCACTAACGTCAAGATAACAACCACAGGTTGGCTCCAGTGTAATTCATGGAGTCTCCTCGACCCGACTAAGCGTGGCACACTTGTGAGGTTAACTGAACAGCTCGTGAGAACACCAGTGTCTGTCACTATGAAAGTACTTCGTAAGTGGCGGTGAGAACTGGCTCGGTCGCGCTTCAAATATTTGCTGTATCACAAGCGAGCTTGTTTTGATCTACACTGACCTGTGTCGGTTGTTGCAATGCGAGGTAATGCGTCTGTAACAATGTGACCGCGGAAGTCCTTTGTCGTATCTGCAGCCGCTGGTCTGCTACAATACTTCTTTTTAATGGGTTATGAACCAACAACAATAAACATAAGTTGCTACCTTTGAAGCATGAAAAGGACAGGTCATAATATAGTTAATTCCGGCTTTTCATACTAATATTACTCGACAGTCTCGACACAGACCTTAAGCGAAAGGAATAGGTGTATGTCATTATGAGATTCTCCAGGAGCGATTAAAAGTATGTGTAGGTGAACATCTATCATTGCCCCAGTAATGCTGCCTTATTCTCCATTTTATTTAACCGACCTTCAACCACACTCGATAGAATTGATGGGTATCAACGTTAGGTAAACTAAGCTACTCATTTATGTGCTACTTATGAGACGATTTCCATTCAAAGCAACATAAAAAGCGGCTTAAAACAGACAAACTGAAGTCAGTAACTCAGTCTCGGTTACCTCCGTAAGATATGTGAGGCAGTAAATTCCATTCGCTGTTCCACGAGCATTTATCTGGCTACGTGCGACAGACTCCTATGGGGCACGTTGGGGCCAAGGTCGGCAGTTGCGAAATAGAGGCTTAAGCAGGAACTTCCATCTACCTTGTTAATCAGATCGCAGACTTCGGTGAACAGTTTAGAGAATCATTCTATTCACAAGGGGTAGTTGGCACACACTAAGAAGCCACAAGACTAGGCCTTTGACTCGTGTTACATATGAGTTGTACTCACTTCGGGAATATTAAGTGATCCTTGAGTTTTACGCAAATACCACCTCATGTGACGGCTGGATTCGAATGGTGTTAATGTGGATATCCGGTAGCATCCGTTGCTCAACTTCGGTTCCAATCACTCCAACGGTTGACCCACAGTAGTGACCACCACTGTGCCTTCTGTGTGCCTACTGGAGGTGTATCTGTTTGGTTAGCCGATTGTCTTGTAGCTTGTACACACAAACCCACTGCACACGTGTGCATGCACAAGAGAACGCGCCGACGGACACACTGACCTCCGCTCATTGAAGCACACAGACGCATGCACGCCAGTGTAACCCGACTCGTCGAATCTGAGCTGCGCCTGACAAACATGTATAGCTACCTGACTGTCACACAAATGACACCTACGCAACCGGTTTCGGTAGATGTGCGGTCAGCATGTCGAGGGAGCTCACTACAGATGGAGCAAAGGAAGCACCGTTTGATGCTTTGTTCTAAAACGCAAAGTCTTACTCCACCATCGAGACATTTAAGTGAGCGCAGTGTTAGGAATTCAAAAAGCAGTAAGTCGTCTTCTCAGAGTGCTCCTTCGGATACCGTTCGTGGTTCCTCAGAGTACGTTAGTTTGTAGAACTGGACAATCTTAGTGGCAGTAGGCTGGCTATTCTACTCACATACCCGTGCAGCCTGTTGGCAAGTTGTGATTTATCACCTGGAAATAAAGGACAGCTGTCGATCTACAAAGAAAAACAAGGAGGAATGTAGCATAAGCCCGTCGCTTTCTTATAAGAGAATGATCTACGCTCTATGCCGTAAAATCCAAGGTCAAACTGCTCTATGTGGCCCAAACTGCATTGACGATCGTCCTGAGAACAAATGGTCAGGGTTTTCAAATCGACTGTACCATACTGATTGGGGAGTTAAAGACTGTACACTGTGTTGAAGTCGATCGGAGCCCAGTGAATAGTTTCGCATCGCCAATCATTTAAGTCAGAGCATATCTCCTCTCCAACTGCCAGCGCTTCATGTCCGATCCACGATATTCTGTGAGCTCCAGATGCGAAACAGCACTTGGCTAACGAGCATACAGCGTTAATGACAATTCAAATGAATTCTTGGCGATCAAAGTGTGTCAACCGTAGGAATTATGACGTTTGCTCTCACTGTACAAAGCAAAGGTACACCCCCGTTGGTACTGTTTCACCTACGTGCTTACTCTCTAAAAATAGACCAGTATTTTTCTGGGGTATTAGAGAAACGTGTATCTCAGGATTGTTCGCATTCCTCACTCTACCGTGAAGTGTCATCCATCACGGAGCACTAGCGATCAGTGGAATTCCGCGGTTTGCTTGAGCACGTTGTGTGAAATGCTGACTAAAATTATTCTCCACACTTAAAGAATGTGCCATTTAAGCTCATGAGTGTAGATGTATCGAGCTGAAGAAATAAGTCACATTGGCATGCTTGTCCTATGTTGCTGCACTTTGAAAAGTAATATGTAGACAAGTAATTCATCAAAAAGCATGGTCTAATGATACCTTAGGCCATTGTTAAAAATTTAAATGCACTTGAATATAGGATGTTATTGCAGTGAGAAGTTCGATGCATTAATGTTTTTGGAAACAATCAGCGAACAGTTTAAGGTAATGCGATACTGATTTACTCTACAAAAATAATCTACAGTTCAAAAGCCCTGAACGTCAATAGCATGGTCTCAGATAAAATAGTAGGTGATATCAAAGAAACAAAAACGATCTGAAACTTATCCGGTTCTAACGCTACTTCTTCAAATCTGGCGCTTACTCTCATTCTAAGAGACAAATCGTGAGGGAACAACTGAGCAACATCGAAACATAACAAGATTACAAATGATCAAGTTATAAGCAAATTGCTAAGAGATAATGTTTCACAGCAATATGCACAAGCCACATAGTTGACAGATGCTACCATTAACACTATTTAGTCTAGGAGCAGTACGGCTAGACAAATTATACGCACCTCTAACTCTTGCCGAGTGGATGGTAGCAGCAGTGATCTAAGTAGCAGAACAATGAACAATGATTTATCACGGGATAAAAGCAAGTGCTTGACACCTCCCGTAGGATGGTTGAGGTGAATATGATGAAATCAAAATATGTCTGGGTCATCTACCGAACGTCTGCCGAGATGAATAGTTTGATAAGTAACATCAGTGTAAAATTAAAATAAATTATCGAGCGTAAACGTTCAGAAAGACACTGGGGTGCAGTGATCATTGAGGTAAAGAGTGAGCAAAGTAAAATATGGTCGCTCACTTAGATCCGTTTGATACATAAATCCTGTTGTAATGCATCCTTGGCGTAATCCACAGTAGGGGGGTTTAGGTAACAAAATGTTGGGAGCTAAGAGCAACGTCTAATCGTTTTTTTGAAAACATCCAAGGTAGGAGAGGATACAACTGAGTCTGGGAGTGCGTTCCAAGGTTTGCAAACCCGAAGGGAAAAGTAATTCCGTCGACACTCTAGACGGCTATATTGTTTCTTCAACTTTAAGCAGTTACCCCTGAGCTGCGTGTTGTGGCTAAGTTTCAGCAAATGGCGGCATACGTGGTTGGGGTCACTCAATATTTGATACGCTAATATGAGATCACCGCGCAGTCTTCGATAGCACCCGCTAAAAATTCCGAGCAACTTCAGCCTTCGGTGGTAAGAGTGGTAGCGCAGGCCCTTCACATTTTTTGTTGCTCTCCGTTGTGGTGCCTCTATCGCTTCTAGGTCGCGCTTCAACCAAGGTTGCCAAGCTTGGATAGCGTATTCAACATGCGGGCGCACGTAGGAATTGTGCATCACTGGGAAGATTGATGGGTCAAATCTTCCGAATGCTCTTCGCAACATGCCGACATGCTGGTTGCCTCTTTTCGCAGCAACCTCAGCCTGTTTTGAACAGTTGAGGTCGCTCTGTACGATCACACCTAGGTCACGTTCCTGGGAGCTATTCTGCAGTCCTTTGGTCCCAAGTGAATAGGTATAGTTATGACGATGGCGTAACAAAACATATATAACGCTTATCCAAGGCTTGATCACAGGTAATGGATCAGTAACTTGAGCTCGTGGATACCTCAGCCGATAGTTTATTCCGAGTCTCCCATGATATAAATGAACGTTATATAATAATGATAATAACAGTATGTATATTCCTCCGGGTGAGAGAAACTGTGTCTTTAGCGGCACTTATCAACTTGCACAAAAGTATCCATGTTCTTGCATGGGCAATATCCACTGATGGAATATTCTGGTATGTGATTCAAATAATTGCGTTCCGGTAGTTGGTTGAGGCGAAAGCCATGCACTGGAAACATGGGTTTTTAAACGGTTTTAGATCCTACCTGGATCTTTTCATGTTAATATAGTCATCTTGGTATTTAGATCAAGGTAGTTGGCGAGTCTGCTTCTAAATGTTGTCACATTACCACGTGACCTGAATGGAGTTGCTAGTTTATTACACAGTTGGCTTTATCTGACAAGGAAGAAATTCAAACAAATGCTCAGGCTAGACTTTGGTATATTCAGTGTAAAACCTTTATTGCGAAGCCATCGAGTTGAGATATGTTGTAATTCAAGTGTAGGCAGGTGTGAATAGGTCTTTTTGTGTAGCGGGTTGTAAAGCTGCGAAAAGCTATGTTTCAGTCGTCGAGACCCACGAGGTTCCAATCGTCTTTCTTACAAAGCTTTCGATAAATCATAGCAGAGTGCCTACCAAACAGATGTTTAGTAAACGATCTCTACAAATCTGTCACCCTTTCTCATATTAACGTATAATTTGCTGCAGTGTTAGAGCGTGACACAGATGAATAGCTTAAAATCCTCAACGCTAGCATGGGTCATGTGGATTTTGCTGGATATATTGAACAGATTGTCTGCTACGTGCTGCATCCCAATCTGCTATGGCGACCACCTGTCTAGGCAGACAACATATCAATGGCGACCAACCAAATGAGTGATGTCCTTATGCACGAACCTGTCCATTTCGACCTCCTGTCCAAGGCGACCACTTTTTTGATCCGTTGGGTGGTCGTCTCAATGGAACAATGGTATATGACGGGTAAAAAAGCATACACTTAACGAGTCCCGCAGGTTGGCAATAGAAATACTAACAAATTGGCAAACCACATAAGTGGTTGAAGTAAGGAGCGTCAGTGAGATAAAAGGTAGAAGTATAACAGTTTTAGGGGGATAAAGTGGTACGACGCAAAACTGGCTAAGAAATTGTTATCGTTGGTGATGGTAGCAAATAAAAATGGAGTACTCACCGGTTCGCACAGATTTACGACCGTGAATTTGGGGTATAAATCCAAAGAGGCTGGTCAGCCTAAATATATACAAGCGTTTTCGTTCATAAAACAAAGCGCAGGGCGCTCAGTGCGACGTCCAATCGTTTTTTAAACGTATCTAATGTGGGGGCACAAACAACTGAGTTTGGAAGGGCGTTCCAGGGCCCGCAGACCCGGAGGGAGAAATAGGTTCTCCGACAGTCTAGACGACTGTACTGTTGGCTCAGCTTTAAACTGTTACCGCGAAGGTTAGTGTTCGGGCTGAGCTTCAAGAGGTGGCGGCATACGTGACTGGGATCGCTCAATATCTGGTACACTAGTATGAGGTCTCCACGAAGTCGCCGGTACCGTCCGCTGAACACTCCGAGTATCTCCAGTCGTTCCTGGTAAGGAGTGTGGCGCAAGCCCTTGACGATTTTCGTTGCTCGACGCTGTGGGGTCTCAAGCGCCGCAAGGTCACGTTTTAGCCAGGGTTGCCAGGCCTGGATTGCATATTCGACGTGAGGACGCACGTAGGCATTCAGCATCAAAGAGAAGATGGATGGATCCAAAATTCCGAATGCTCTTCGCAGGAGTCCAACGTGCTGGTTGCCCCTTTTAGAAGCAGGAATCTGACTGTTTGGAACACCCGAGGTCTTCCTGTACCAGCACACCCAAGTCGCGTTCCTGAGTGGTGGTCTTCAGATCGTGTGCCCCAAGCTTGTAGACGTGGACTTGTCGATGGCGGATATGAACAACGCGACATTTGTTCACATTAAACGGCAGGGCGTTTCTCACCGACCAATTCCAGGCCTCATTCAAGTCACGCTGTAGGACTTCATGGTCGTCCGATCGTTTTATCGCCCGCCAAACCTTGAAGTCGTCCGCGAAGAGTAAGAATTTCGACGTAATAACACTTACTAGATCGTTAATGAAAAGCAGGAACAAACGAGGCCCAAGTACCGAACCCTGCGGTACGCCGCATCCCACTCGAATCGGATCGGAAAAGGATGATCGAACTCTAA